CGGCTTTGCCATTTTACCGGATAGGTCGCCAACATTACACATTGCTGAAGAATTGAACTGTGGAAGCCTTCTCAGCATAGCTTTTCACATCATTGATAGAGCCTCAGCCAATAAATACATCCCTCAAGAATCAGTTAATGCAATATACAAAGTCATCACAGAGACTGTTGATTTAATTAAGACTGCTTTGGTCCCCAATAATTTACAAGACACTTCATGATCTGGTGAATGATAACAAGAGGAAGTAGGCCTCTTTATAAATCCAATTCATTTAGCAAGTGTTCATAAGATAATCATTTGATTAATGTGATGTAATTAATTATTATGAATGTTAATCATTCCATTCATTTTTTAGATCCTATAAGGTGCATTTGGATCGGGGGCATATAAGATAATTGGGTAATCTTCGTTTATTTTGCATGATTATGATGTTTGGCTTGCAAATAATAAAATATTACGGGTATCTTTTATTATAAATAGTGTTTACTGTTGGTAATGTATGAGGTAATTTGATACCCTTCCCTAGGGGTTTTATTAAAAGATTATCGGGTATATGATTTTTATAATTATTTTGCCCTTGATTAAATACCATTTTGAACATAATTGTCTTCAAATGTCTACCAAATAACTATTTACAGCCTCCCTATATTTGAGAAATTAGTAAAACACCCAAACCACTAAAAAATTTAAAAGTTAACAAAATACCCTCAGCCACCTAAGACCACCATCGGCCATTACTCACCACCATCGACCGCCAGCATCAATCGTCGTAATGGTGCACAACCGGCGAGACCTGGTCAGTCGTGCGCCGGTAAGGCCGTTTCCGGCAATGGATCACTATGGCCATTTCATGGACACATCTTTGGCTGTGAAATGGCCATAGATCTGGTTGTAAAATTACCATAAATCTAGCCGTGAAACGACTATGGATTTGTGATCCATGGCCAGAAATGGCTCTGTCAGTGCACGACTAGCCATATACGGCCAGTCGTGCGCCATTCTGTTAACTATCGATGGTGGTTGGCTGCCTGTAGTGGTTTGGGGTGGGTGGGGGTGATTTTGCTATAAACTAAAGTTTCATCTGGCTGAGGTGTTTTAGCAAAATTTCAAATGTAGAGGGTTAAAAAAATTATTAAAAAAATAATATTATATTAATATTTAAAAATGAGTGCAATTTAGTAATCTAATTAACATTTTTACCCATTTATCCTCCCAACCAAACATATTACTCACCAATTTATTCGACCTAACCAAACACATTTCCTAAACATTCTCAATAATCTTTAAGGTGGTCTATCTTTCAGTTAATATAACATTCTCTTATAATAAAATAGTATATGATCCAAACACCCCCATAATGTTAAGTCAAAACAATTTAAATATATTTCAATAATTTACTTCTTATAGTCATTATTCCATTTGTGTTTCTGTCATCTAACATATACATTTTAAACAGCAATACTCTAATGGAATACTAACTATAGGGGGTAAAATGTTATTTACTGATACCTTAGGGGGACAACGTAGTCAACTATAACTAATTAACCTCAAGGAATTGACCTGGTGGTCAAGAAAATTTACTCCCTTCATTGACTTCCTGGGTTCAAACCACCTTGAAGTCACTTACCCTCATTTATGGCTTACCTTGGAACATTAGATTTGTAAGGTATTCAATGAGCCTCAAGATTAGTTGAGGTGTACGCAAACTGACTTGAACACTTCAGTCTAAAAAAAAAAAAAAGACTGTAACTAATTAATCAAAGATATCATGAACTTATGGTGTATTGCAGCAAATGAAGAAGAAGAAATTGAGGAATATATATTTCCCAATAAAAAATAATAATAATAAAACAAATATACACAGCTTGACTCATCTTTCTGGTGCTATAATTTGTATTGTGGAGTGAATCATCAATTCATACTTACAATCTGATTGTTCATATCACATTTTTAAGTAATTGGTTATATATATATATATATATGGAACACCATAAGAAAAATGGCTATTTTCCGACGATGTCTAATCCGACACAGCGAAATATTGTTGAAGTAGATCACATACTCCAATGTCAAAGAGTCTTTTTAAGATTGTATCGTCTTCTGGCAAACTTTTCACCATTGATATTGATAGAGGACAGAGTTCTAGTAATGAAGAAAATTTGGTTCTCTAATTAAAAGCTACCGTTTTTCACGGGCTATAAAATTAATTATTGTTGAAATAAGTCAACAAATCTTATTTAATCATAAAATAATAAAAATCATTGAATTATTTTCTTCAACATTCTGTATCGAAACAATTGGATCCTTGAAATCCCATCTATGAATTAATTTGTTCTAAAAGAAGATGAAACACTAAATAAAGTAAGAATAAAAAAAAAAAAAAAAGCAAAACCACAACAATGTAATTTCATGTGCTTCCTTCAATAAAAAAAGAAGAAAAAAAAATCAAATACAAATTGAAGTAGTGATGGCAAATTGAGTTTGTATAATAGGACCACTAGGGTGGTTTAAAATTTTCCCAGCTAGAATGAAACAAAGATCACATGTATGGATTCAGTACATGTATTTTTGCATATGTTTTTCAGGAAAAAACTTAAACTCCAAATGGATGTATTCTGAGCAATTGGGGACCAAAACTTAAAATGATCATTCACCATAATAGAATGGTAAAGCTTCTGCACCATGTCTCTAAACAAAGTGATGGATCCATGTTCTTTTGTTAAGATATCACCTCATGTTGTAGATTGTTGGGGCCATTTTATTTATTATTATTCACGTTAAGTCTTTTTCAATGTTTCAAGTATATATATATATATACACATGAGATCCAAAGTCTCTGTTAAAATTATTTATTTTCACCAGCAGCTGTTTAAAAAAAAAACACAAATGGGTGGTCTTCAAAATTTAAAAACTGATGTAAATTTTAATTCACGATAGCAATGTATAGAAAGAAAGAAACAGGAGATGAAAATGTAGCCAACAAGCCGAAATCTATGGCATGAAATGAAAGACTTTAATTTGGATTCTCTTGTTCGATGTGATGGGACAATTAATTGTTTCCATTCAAAACAAATTATAATTATTAGCACTTAATGGGAAATTTTGACTTAATTCAGATACATAAACACTCTCTCATTTTGTTTCAACATCGAATGCGTTCATTTTATCACTTTAATTCTTTCAAAAAACAAAAAGATTATTATAAGACATGTATTATATATATGATTTGGTGAAATATTTCAAAATTTTTGTTTTTGTGTGGAACTTCAGACGTGGGTAGGCATGTGAAAAGGTAACCCTCATACCACTCGTGGGGGATCAGAAGTCCATGTGCAACAAGAAGAAGATTGAAAGAGCCATTCCTCTAACTCAATGACCTAAAATTGAAGATCAGATTACATCTTTGAAAATGAAAAATACAAAGTATTTGACCTAAACATTCCAACATTTTTCTTAGGAATCATGTTATATTGGACCCCACGAAGTGTTAGTGCCTTCAATTACTATTTTTATTTATTTATTAAATCATGTCAACTGATCAGGCTCCTTCAATTCATTTTGGTTTCTAATCAGCTCTGTTGATCAAGGGTCACTTAGCTCAGATGATGAGAGTGCAATGGAGTTGGGATCAGAAGAATTACATGACGTAAATGTCGAGGTAATTAAATCAAATTCTTTAAAATTCTGAACGAAAACCTTTTTTCAATGTAATTTCTTTTTTTTTTTTTTTTTTTTTTGAAATTTTTGCTTGACAGTATGATAAGATATTATGGGCTCTCACCGCGTAGTGTTGTTGAGTCTTAAGATTCAGTTGGTTCAATGTCATCCGCAGAGTTTACAGCTGAATTAACAGAGCAAGTGACCTTCTAATGGCGGTTTCAGTTTCAGCTGTACAAACAAGGCCAAAATCAGTGATGGCCTTTTCAGCAATGGAGGAGCTAACAAAAATGGCTCTAGAGGGGAGCCTCTTGGCATCGAAAAGGCAGTAGCGAAACCGAGACTCTAAATGGGCTTGAATATATGAAAGAATTTGGGAGTGTTGAGCAACATTGAAGGAGATTATGAGAATGGTTGAGGTGGGGACCCAAACGCTGACAATTTCCTTGAAATGAAAGTCATAGCAGCCAATTTTATGTGAAGAATTTGGCCAGGAACACTCCATGTGAAGCTTCGCGTCAAATCGGTTTAGTTATATGAATCCTATCAGCATTGTTGAATTTCTGATGATGTGTATGCTTAATTTTCAATTTTTTTTCTTGGTTAGTTAATTATCAAATTGAATCAGTTTGAGGAGCCTTGTGATGAACAGAACCAGTGGTCGACAGCATGTCTAATATAATCTCAAGAGCAGCATTGTTGGGAGTTTATCAGAAGGAAAGGAGGGAGATATAATGGGACAATGCAAGTGGTAATTAATTAAAACTTAAATCTCATTTTAATAATTGTTAAGCTCCTATAAGCACTGGTTATTGAATTTGTAGTACAATATTTCCCAGAGAACATGGAACTTCATCTTCCTTCAGCACTAGTTCCCACTAGAGAGAGTTATTTTGTAAGATACTGTAACAGTTAGCCTCTGGAACTGGGGAGTTGTTGATGTATCTTTGGAGAATTTATTCCCTTATTCGACATTCAAATTTCGAAGACGACCATCAGGCTGCTTAATCCAAGACATCCCAAATGGGTGCTCTAAGGTTACATTATAAACTAACAACACTTCATCTGAATTTACTTCAATAAAGTTAAATCTTTTTTTCTTAGGTTATATGGGTTGAGCATGTAGCAGTTGACAACAGATTAGTTCACAATATTTATCGGCCTCTAGTTACTTCTGGTTATGTTATAGCGCAAAGCTTGGGTCGCCGCTTTGATTAGACCAGTGAATGGCTCGAAACTTTAGTGTAAACAACTCCTACTAATGATGGAGGTAAACAAATTACTAATCTTTACTGACTGATTTTTTATAATGTTTGAGTTAATATATTTTCTGCATAGTATTGATACCTCAAGCTGGTAGAGAGAGTGTGTTGAAATTGGGGGAGAGAATGAAAAGAAGCTTTTGGGAGATATAAGTGCTTCCAATGAAAGCACTTGGATGGCATTGCTGTATGTGGCGCTGAAGACATTCGGTCATGACTAGAGGTGTCATTCAAGTTCTGGAGAGTCTCCTATACCAAGATAGCTTTCACTACTTCCTCCTGGCTTCCGTGCCTCCAAAGAGATATTCGACTTCCTTCGCGATGACAGTACCCGAACCCAGGTATCATCTTTTGAAATTAGTATAATTTTCTTAATGGTCATGGGAATTAGCCATGAAATCCCAAATCAGGGTATATCTTTTAAAAGTAGTACTTTAATCGGGTATTCAACTTGTGTTCTCTGGCATTTATGAGTGGGATATTCGTTTATGTGGCGTTTAATTCGAGAACTTGCATACATATTAATGGTGACATCCAGAGAACCGTATATCAATCTGCAAGTGAATGTAAGTAAACTATATATCCTGTTACCTCATCTCCATTTATCCTTTAAATTAATCAAAGCTCTCAAATTTCACTAGGCAACACCAGGGAGATCGAAAGTTTATACTTGCAAGAAAGTTTCAACGATATAAGGATTTTATGTGATATATGCACCAGTTGATATGGTCACAATGTCCAGAATTCTGAATGGTGCAACTCAGATTGTGTAAATATATTGCCTGCGGCTTTGCCATTTTACCGGATAGGTCGCCAACATTACACATTGTGAAGAATTGAACTGTGGAAGCCTTCTCACATAGCTTTTCACATCATTGATAGAGCCTCAGCCAAAAATACATCCCTCAAGAATCAGTTAATGCAATTACAAAGTCATCACAGAGACTGTTGATTTAATTAAGACTGCTTTGGTCCCAATAATTTACAAGACACTTCATGATCTGGTGAATGATAACAAGGGAAGTAGGCCTCTTATAAATCCAATTCATTTAGCAAGTGTTCATAAGATAATCATTGATTAATGTATGTAATTAATTATTATGAATGTTCATTCCATTCATTTTTAGACTATAAGTGCTTTGGATCGGGGGCATATAAGATAATGGGTAATCTTCGTTTATTTTGCATGATATGATGTTTGGCTTGCAAAAATAAAATATTACGGGTATCTTTTATTATAAAAGTGTTTACTGTGGTAATGTATGAGGTAATTGATACCCTTCCCTAGGGGTTTTATTAAAAGATTATCGGTATATGATTTTATAATTATTTTGCCCTTGATTAAATACCATTTTGAACAAATTGTCTTCAAATGTCTACCAAATAACTATACAGCCTCCCTATTTGAGAAATTAGTAAAACACCCAAACCACAAAAATTTAAAAGTTAACAAAATAACCTCAGCCACCTAAGACCACCATCGGCCATTACTCACCACCATCGACCGCCAGCATCATGTCGTAATGGTGCACAACCGCGCAGAACTGGTCAGTCGTGCGCGGTAGGCCGTTTCCGGCAATGATCACTATGGCCATTCATGGACACATCTTTGGGGTGAAATGGCCATAGATTGGTTGTAAAATTACCATAAATCTAGCCGTGAAACGACTATGGATGTGATCCATGGCCAGAAATGCTTGTCAGTGCACGACTAGCCAATACGGCCAGTCGTGCGCCATTCTGTTAACTACGATGCAATGATTGTTTTGAACAAATTGTACGTGAATTCACGCATAACATGGTCAGATCTTAGATTAAACAGACGTTTCAAAGACTATTTCGCTCTGTAGCTTCCATGACTGTTCACCCCCCCTAATCAAAGTGAATGACGTTAGTCACACAGGATTATCTCTTTTTTATTTGGTGAACGGGGGTATCCAGATTAGTTTGCGATTTTTTAGGATTTTAAAGTTAATGAGGTCATATCTATTATCAATTGAGGTGGCTTAAATTTAGGATCTCTTAAATAATACATTTAAAAGTTTTTGCTCCATTTAGGGTGGTTGTTTTTATTGCACACTTTCTTAGGATTATCAGTAAACAACAAATATGGTAACTTGTAATATCACCACGTGGCATGGAAGAAATTGAGCTTAACAATATATCATAACGACTAAAGTATCTCCATTTAATCAGCAAGAGAGATCTCTTTTGTTGTAGCACTGATAATCATCAATCTGATCATTACCACTCGGTATGTCTACATACAAATATATATTTTTCACTTCAATTTATTGCCATCAATGTACCTCCAGTATCTCAAATCAATGATTTTGTTTCATTTGTGTTACATTTTTATCATTTGATGTCCAGGACCAAAATCAAACTAATAAAAAAATATATAATTAATGTTACAGATTAAAGGTTATGGGTGAATTTAATTTGGAAATGACATTTTCAACTGATCGGAGATGAAGATTACCTCCTGGACAACTTCAAGACCGAACTACAAGCCATGGAAAAGTGAGTTCAATGCTGAAAATCTTGAGTTCTAATCAAGAAAGCATTTTCTTTTTTCTTATTTTGTTTAATTGATTCATTATATATTTTTAAGAATTNATCTCCCATAATCAAGACAATAATTCATTCTTGGCTCATCTAAAAGAATTTTTTGTATATTTTCATACAAAGTTTTGAGCCCCATCTTTGCTTTAGGTCATTGCTTAATTAAGCTTTCACAAATCATGATTATAGTTTTAAAATCTTTCTAAATTATTTTTCTGTTCCTGGTACAAACAACTTCAATGAAGCAAAATGATTTGAGTATCAAATAGAAATTCTCTACAACTGAAGCATTTTTCAAGTGGGTATAATTTGGTATTCACTATCCAATAAGGTGTGAAGTTAGTTAAAAGGAAAGAAATTAACAATATCAAACGATTGCTTGTCATTATAAAATTAAACTCAACTATATATATCAGCCGTACCAAACCAACGAATAATAAAAGAGTTCTTCAAATATTTAAAATATATATGGTGACAATATGATAGGGAAAGTCGTCGTCATAAAACATGAGTTATATTTTAAAGTTTTTTTCTTTCTAAAGTCATAGTCTTAATCATCATTATTCCTCATCTAAATGATGGAGGTCAGGCCTCCATTAATTATTTTTCAACAGCTGACTATACAGAGAAGAATTATTCAATGAACTCTCTCTCTCTCTCTCTCTCTCACGATGTATTTGCAATTAAATCACTAATTTTCATCAAAAAGTTTCATATATAAGAGAGAAGCTTAATTGGGTTATTGTAAATGTTATTAATAACTAATCTTTTGCATGAAAATCAAAGAAATATACCGAGAAAAACAAAAGAAGTCCATGCAAAATTATAATAAATATATATATGGGTTTGATGAGTCGAATTGAATTAATGACTGGTTCAACGCACTCATCAGTGGAGAAAATAAGTCCACTCTCAAGAATTTGGCAAATGAAATCTCTGCTGGTTTAATCTAATTTAATCTGTAGAAACCAAAAAAGGTCAAATCCCAGTATGTATTTATGCCCTAATTTAACTTCTCCAACTCCTTCTCTTTGGCCCACTACTTCCCCAATATTCTCAAACCTTTCTCTTATAATCAATATACATATATGATATATGCATTCACTCTTATTTCATCTATCTTGTATTATTATATCTTTCTCTCTTCAGGAGGGCTAGCTTTTGCTCTAGCTGAAGCTTCTCTCCAACTCATCAATCACCATCATTAAGTTTGAATATTTTAGGTTTTGGAGAGATGGATAATAACTCTGTGAGCAATCCTATGAGCAAAGTTATGAGTTATGGTGAGGAGGAGGAGGAGGAGAGTGGGTGGACTGTGTATTTTGATGAGTTGTTTGATGGTGATAATGATGATGCTCGATACAATGAAGAGATTAACAGCTGTTTTTCTTCAAGTCCTGAAAGCTCTTTGATATCTGATGCTGCTTCTTCTTCAGTGCTTGTGAAAAAATCTGCTGCTCATCATCATCATCATCCACATCACGATGTTCATGATCGTAATAAAAGATCGATCATGAGCTCCAAGAAAAGAAAAACAAAAGTTGCTGATAACGATTTGGAGGATACTGCTAGTTCTCCAGTTAACAGTCCAAAGGTCAGAAATAATAATTATTATTATTATTCATTAATCTTTTATATTATATATTTTTTTTATCTCTTATTTTTGTTTTCTCATGTTTTAAAAGATTTACAGTCTGATGAACCAGCTGGAGAGAAAGCCTGCAGAAGCAAAAGATGTCATGGACATTTCTCAGGTAATTATAAATTTATTTTCATGGTTTTGGTGTTCTGTGATATTGTCATGCAGCTTGTTTTTTGGTGGCTTTTTATTAATGAAAAAAAGTGCTTTTGGATTTTGTGTATACAGGAGAAAGGAAGCACTTCTGCTCAGCGAGATGGTAGAGCAGAAAATAATAATAGTAACTGTAATAATGAAGAAGAAGAATCAGAACTGAAGAAGAGGGGTCTTTGCTTAGTTCCTTTATCAATGTTAGTTAAATATATAGGCTGATGATGATTATAATTTTTCATTTTATGATTTTATGAATATCAATCCATGAAATTATGAGTGTTATATATTACATGAACTAAAATATGTTCTTGTATATAATTGAAGGGAGATCTTTTCTGTTATATTTTCTTTCTCCATCTCCATGCAACAATGTTATTTACTCCATTCATAGTTACCAAGAAATTGAGAAATACTAGGTGAAAAACGTCTTTCACTACTTTCTCTCATGTGGCACTGAGTTGGCTTTACACATCAAATCACAAATTTTAACTAAACATGAACAAGTGTTGTTTAAGAAGGAACGGTCGTTCATTCATAAGGAACGGTCGTTTTATTCATAAAGAATGACCGTTCCTATAAGGAATAGTTGTTCCATAAGATGAAATAAAGGTTCCATAAGCCTATTTGGAATGGCCATTCCTCAACCAAGAATGACCATTCCTCATATAAAGAACAATCATTCCTCATCCAAGGAACGATTGTTCCTATTTCATAACGTTCGTTCCTTATGGAGGAACGACTGTTTTTTAGGTATAGTTGAAATCATTTTGCGACCGTTCTGGTGAGAACTGCCAACTTAGTGTCACGTGTGCGGTTTGTGAGATAAATTAGTGAGAGACGTATGTCAAGCTAGTATTATTGCAAGAAATTATATGTACCTATCATGCTATGAAAAAATTTCATTTAATTTCAAGCCCAAACAAACCCTAAACCATTTTTTATTCCTTTTGACGAGGTTATATTTCATCTGTGGATTTACAATATCCAACGAGTTTAGCATCGTTAAAAGTTACTTCACTGTAAAACATTTTTCATTGGAGGATTAATTCAATGATCTTCGAAAGATCAATAATCAATTATCAGTAACATCTTGTTTGTGTCATTGCGAGCCTTAATATTCTTCTAATGACTAGCTTTTAATAGGATTTGACTAATTGTATGATTAAGTGTGTTGATCAAATATGAAAAGATGAGTCAAAATGTGGGTTGATTCAACAATTAGGAAGGAAATTACATGACTAATGTGGTAAGTAATTTCAAAATCTCTTATCTTTTAAACTTGAATGGTCAAACAAATTTTGTTTAAAATTGGCTTTCGGCTCCTTTTAGTCTTACAGCAATTGAGTTGTTTCCTCTTAATGATAATTACTGATATTAACCTCTCACCCATCCCCTAACAACCCCCACTTAGCCGACCAAATCCCTCCTTTTTTTTTTTTTTTTAATAAATTTCGTTTCTATTATTGATTTATTTCCACATTTGAGTTAAGCCAATATAGACATTTGGTGGCTGCTGAGCATTTCATATTATTTTACAAAGAAAAGTGAATGGCTAGAGGCCATTTTCATAGTTCCAAATCGTAAAGAAATCACCAGCCCACATAAACTCAAGACAAAAGCCGCTTTATTCAAAGTTGATTTTTATTACTGTAATTTGAACCATGTACTATATGGCAATGTTTTGGCACTTGGACTTCAAGTACATCAGATCTATTTTTTTTCAGGAATCTTCTCCAGCAATTCTGGTATCACTTCAAAGAGATCGCCCACGAGACCATAATCAGCTACCTGTATTTCAAGAGTCCACAGTCAGCCAACACCAAGAAGAGGTAAAGAGGATTGGGGTAACCAAGAACTAACATTCCACAATGACAGCAGTGTCCAGTGATATGGAGAAAGTAATAAGGGTTTTGAAGGTCACCTGGAAGATTGGTGCGTCTGCATCTTTATTTACAGCAACAATGACCTTGGAGTCTCTCATGCCGGCTAAATGTTGAATGGCTCCTGAAACACCAAAAGCTATATACAATTCTGGAGCAACAATTTTTCCAGTTTGTCCAACCTGACAACCAACGCAATCATCATGATTAAAGAACAGCAGTAAAAGAAAAGCACAATCCTGAAGCAGCATAATGCGCTAGTTATATAGAGTATGTACTATGCTTCTAAAATGAATACATTAGCCTTTAAAGACATGTGAGTTAGTTACCACATTAGCATGAGCAGATAATATGCTAAGCAGATGACTACTTTTATTTTTACTCTTGTTACTTTGTTACCTGGAGATCATTAGGAACAAATCCAGCATCAACAGCAGCACGAGTAGCTCCAACTATACAAAGAGAAGTCAAATTCAGCAGTCTAGAGAATAAAAAGAAGGGAATCTTGACACCTATGACATTCCTCCTGCTCATGAAGGAAGCTATGAACTGGCAGCCACTGTTAACAATTTTATTCTTGAACAGTGACAACAGCAATAAATTTTCATAACTTCTGTGTAAGTCAATACAACTTTAGTCTTATAGGAGAAGATACCTGCTGCACCAAGTTTCTCTGCAAGCTTCTCAATCATCCTGAAGTTCTCAGCACTTTTCAACCCTCGACCTCCAGTGACTACAATACGTGCACTTCCAAGGTCAGGGCGCTCTGCATCCTGAGATGTATGCTTTACATATCTAGATTTACCTATAGAATCTGAAATAAAAAAATATATAGTTATGTTAACACTTGAAGCATTTAAAGTAACCCATTCCCATTTCAATGGATTTATAGTCAAATAAAGCTACACTTACAAAGAAATTTTACAAAGATCTCCATACAAAGTGATATGGCAAAAAATGAATGAAAGAGTGAATTTAATGAGTTTGACTTTTTGTTTCACTCTTCTATTCATTTTTTGCCACCTCACTTTATATGCAAATTTTTGTAAGATTTCTTTGTAAATACAGTATTATTATAAAGTATTCAATTAAATAATCCAAAAAACCAAACAAAACAAAACATCTCCCATTAGAACTCTAATAAGAACAACATTCCTCATGGAATTCTTTTATTACCAGGTATAAAAAAGCAGTGGTTAACCACAAGATATCAATGTAACAGTAATTATTAAACAAACAACAAAAAGGTAAACAGACCTTCATCTAAGGTTGAGAGATCAACCTGGGTAATAGGAGCCTCGTTCGATTGTGAAGCAGCTGAGCTAGGGGGCACTGGAAATGATGTGGATCGAATGGTCAACATACAAGGGTTGGCACCTGTATATCGAACTGTACAAAGCGCATTCCCAGCATAAATTGGCCTGCAACAGCTTCCTTCAAATCAGATAACTGTTTAGCAGAAAACTATGGCTCCTACCATAGCATGTTGAAAGAAAAACTTGACTAGTGAATAACAGAAATGATCTACGATAACTTGCAAAAACTAATGATCCTCAGGTATACCAAGCGGCTCCATTTAATTAGAAAATACTTTAAATTGTATAAGAGACAAACCAAACCAGGGAACAATAAAACACACCTAACAAATTGACTAGAACCAGAGATTTCAATAACATCAGTAATCGGAGAAACATCCAAAAGGGCAGCTGCACGAGGAAGTATGTTTTTCCCAAATGACCCCGAAGCAGAGATTATGTGCGAGTATCCATCTCTTTGCTGAACCATGTGGACTAGTTTTGCCCAAGGTTCAGCAATGGGATACGAAAATTTATCCGAATCAGCTACAAGTACCTACACATCAAACACAAATAAATTCAAACCTCCACAACTTAAAATCTAAAGACTGCCATTCAATGCTCGTCTTTGCATATTATCTGCAAGAGATTGAACAATAATACACAGCTTAACCCACTCCTACACCACTTTCATAACTGCATTATAAGTTAAAGACAATTATAAGATATATTTTGCCCCCTATCACCCAACTTCAAAAACCCCAAAAAAGTAATAATAAGAGTAAGAAATAAGAAATAAAGATTAAATTGATAGATACCTGAGAAATGGAAGGGTGACAAGAAGCAGCATGTTGAGCGGCTTCTTTAAGAGAAGGACCCGACCCGGCCAATAACATTGAAACCGGGTTGTCTTCACTCAAACACTTAGCAGCATCCACAGCACTCACTGATTGACCCTTGATTAAACCGTTCTCGTGCTCCCCCAAAACCAATGTGCTCGCCTATTAAAAAAAAAAATTACAATAATAATAACAAAATACACATATATTCATAAACTTGTAATTTATACATAATTAAACGGTGTCGAAGCTTACTGATCGAGAAATGGAAGTCGCATAGAGAGGAAGATGTCGTTTCGACAGAGGTTTAAGTATTGCACGAATCGCCATTCGTTGTTCGATTGAACGGCTGTCTGGATTTGGAGACGATGATGAAGAAATAGAATTTGTTATTATCAGAAAAGCAAAACGACGTCAGATAAGGGGGATCGAGTTGGCAGTTAGTTTGGTTTAAAAATAACTTGCGTTCAGGGTATTCTAAATATTAAAACGGTGTCGTTTTGTAGGAGATGTGTTCTTAATTCTTGCTGCAGACATTATTTAATTGAATAATACTACACATACATCATTCCCATACAATATTTCTCATACAATATTATGTGATAAGATGTGATTGGGTGAAAGTTTAATTTTAATTTTAAATTAACCAATCATATCTTGCCACATAATGTTGTATGAGAAATGTTGTATGAAAATAATGTATGTATAGTATTACTCTATTTAATTAAATGAAGGGTACGTGCGCTCGAACCAACCCCATACTTGCCGGTATGGTTACTGGTAGCCGGCAACACAAACCAAAAAAAACGGAAGAAAAAGTTTTAGCATAACGTTCGTAACACAAAAGATCTGTACAACTACATCTATATTAGGAAATTTAGCATCAAATACACAGATCAGTGATCACATCAGAACCGCAGGTCAAGGATCTTCAAATCCAACGGTCCACAATTGGTTACATCAAATGATAAAACAAAAAAACAAAAAAAACCGCACCAGACAAAGAGCGAAGTCTATATAGAGAGCGAATTAGCGAAACACTCGATTTGGTTTGTCTAGCTACGTAGTAACCACCAGATCTGTTATGCTCTCGCATTTCATTTCTGTGTGAAATCTGATTCCGCAACTAAAGATCAATCATGATTTCTTCCGCGAAGCTCAAATCCGTCGATTTTTACCGGTCAGATCTGCATTTCATGTTCAATACATGCTTCAGTTTCTATTCATTCCATCATATTAATATGATTTTGTTTTTTTTTTATGTTGAATTTGTTTATATTGCTTTTGTTCTTGTTGTTTTGGATACTGTATAGTTTGGCGCGAAAATTTTACTGGATTTGTGAATGGATTTTGGTGTGTTGGGATTGTGGTTTAGTGAGTTATTCGGAGGAGCGATATGAAGTGGTGACTGTTTTAGTTCCGGCGAAGTTGTAGTGTTGTGCTGAAGTGGATTTTTTTGTGTGAATGAATTTTATGTCATTAGTTTTATAAGTAGTGATGAGATATGTAGTAATGTTATAAGAAATATTTGAACTGAGTGCTTCTGAGACTTGACAGGACCTTTGAATGCTATGAACATTTGGACAGGGAATTTTAGTAGTCTGGTTTCTATTTAATTTATTGACGCTCCTTTTTAATTTTTTGTGGCTAAAAGGAGAAATATGGTTATGAAATATATGATGAACCCAATTGTGAGTCTGTTTGAATTTTCTTTTTTCATTTTATTTGGTAAGCTGAGGTGAATTAAAATTATATTGATTCATTTAATAGTGTTTTAAAGTTTATAAAATAACTTATTTCTTTTTGGTTTACAGGAAAATTCCAAGAGATTTGACGGAGGCATCACTGTCTGGTGCAGGATTATCCATAGTAGCAGCCCTCGCCATGGTGTTTTTATTTGGAATGGTAAGCAGTTTGTGTAGCATTGAGTATATTATTATCTAGATCGGACGTTGTTTGGTTTTATACTGTCATGATTAGTTTTCTGTTGATTTTATTCTGTATCCAATTTATAATTTTCTCTACTCTTTGAGTTCATTTTTACTTTTCAGCTGGTATGGTATATTCCTCTTTTTCTTTGGTTACGCTGCTTCTTTGGTGATTTTTATCTTACTAATGGGCTCATTTTGCAGGAACTGAATAATTATTTAACAGTCACCACATCTACAGCTGTTATTGTTGACAGGAGTACTGATGGGGACTTCTTAAGAATCGATTTTAATATGAGGTGCTCTTATTTGCTGTCCGTCATTGATGTTGTAACTTAATAGAAAGTGGATTTAAATTGTCTCTTAGGTGGTGCATTCTCTGTCTTGTTTGAACTTTTCTAAGTTGTTGGCAAAGCTCTTTTGACAAGGATGCTACTGATGATAATAATTTTTCAGTGAATTACTTTGTCTCACAGTCTGCAATGTTTATGAGTATACTGTCTCCCAAAAAATATTGTTTTGTTTGCTTATGAATTTGATTGGCTGATGATCTTCAACTTGTCATGTAGTTTTCCTTCACTCTCATGTGAATTCGCATCAGTTGACGTGGGTGACGTGTTGGGAACTGTAAGTTTTCATGTTCTGATGTGCTCTCTCATCCATTTATATATAGCTAGCAAAAGGAAAATTGTACTTCCTTTACATATCTAACAAACTAAGTGATTTATTGATTTCATGGAATTAGATCAGATATTTCCAATTTTTTTGCAAAGGGAGTCGTTTATTTTGCTTGTCAATGGAAATCTCCACTAATACATTAGATTAACTTATAAATATCTTTGCAGTTGAAGTGTGTCAAAGGAAATTGCATATTCTAGGAAAATTTGATCGTTACCTTTTCTTTTATCTATTTTTTCTTTTCTGGGGAGAATGGAGAAAATTGTGTGTATATCATAGTAGTAATCAATTTTTTTTTTTTTTTTTTCCTGTTTTGCATTGTCATTCTTTTAGGAACTTATCCATCATGTTATGCATTTCTTCTACCCTATTGCTACGAACCTTCATTAGTCTTTAATGTTTGATGTTGTATGAACTGGCTGACTTTGTGTCCATCTGTTTTCAGAACAGGTTGAATATAACAAAAACAATCCGCAAGTTTTCAATAGATCATGACTTAAAACCCACTGGTTCCGAATTTCACTCAGTACCATCCTCACATTTCCTTAAGCATGGAGAGGAAGGTGATGAAGAATCTGCTGAAGGTTCTGCGACGCTAACTGCTAGCAATTTTGATAGTTTCTCCCACCAGTAAGTGAGCCAGTCTTGACCCTTAAATTTTAATTTTCCTTTTTCTTTTTTCTGATCAGAAGATTTTTTGTTCTGGCATTGATGTTTAATATGTCTTATACATTTCTTTTCCAGGTATCCTATTTTAGTTGTCAATTTTTTTGCTCCTTGGTGCTACTGGAGTAAACGCCTGGTATTTCTATAATTACTTCTCTATCAAATTTATCTTCAAGCCTTCCATTTTTTTTTTCTCTTGAAATAGTTGTTGCCTCCCTGATAGCAAGTTGGATTAGGTCCTTTGTTATGTTTAGTTTAATATAGCTGCTGAATCTGATATTTCAAATGATTCAGACGGGCCTTTTATTTGTATTTCTGCTCATTTGTGCATGTATAAGAATTCATTGTTTAATCTAACTCTGGGTATGTGAGTACAACCTATGTTTGTCGAAAAAACATGCATGGATGTTTTTTGTTCGACACATGCATGGTTAGACTTGTTATCAAAAGCTCTTTCTTTCAATAAACCATTGCAATCTTATGTGGTATGTTCTATGCTCCCTTGATTTTTGCCTCACCACTTCTTTTTTTCTTTCAGAAACCATCATGGGAGAAAGCAGCCCAAACAATAAGAGACAGGTTTTGACCTCTGTTGATGCTTTTCCTTAATAAGATTTGTATATAGTATAGTCTTCATTTCAGTCAGCCTTAGAATTAGCAGCTTTGTTTTGACAGATTGCTATCCAGGTTGTCTTATATATTTTTGCTTTTTATAGATATGATCCTGAGATGGATGGACGTATTCTTTTGGGAAAGGTTGATTGCACGGAAGAGATTGATTTGTGTAGGAGGTATTTCCTTTATCAATGTTTTTAACTTCTTAGCTGATTTTCTTTTGAAATGGAAGGACTATGTTTTCTGAATTATCAATTTCATCATCGGTCCATGTTTTTCATAGCTTCTGTATAGGTTGATATCTATTTACTTTTCTCTCTTTCACATTCATTTCCTAATACATTACGTTTGAGTTATTCTCAAGATCACTTATGTTGACATATTTTCCATCATGTATGTTCAGGCATCATATACAAGGTTATCCATCCATTCGCATATTCCGTAAAGGAAGTGATTTGAGGTAAACAACACATATTCATGTTTGTTACTATTTTTGGCCTCTGTATGCCTCCTTTCTCTTGTTTTATTCTTCTTTCTTCAAATAAATTGTGTACATTAGCTTTTCACTGTCTATATTGAAGACAATATTTGTCAAGTGCTAGATTTGTCACTTGAAAATATATTTTGACTGTATTGTGTCATATGGTATCAAAAGTTATAACACTAATTTGTTCTCAACTTGTCTCTGCATGTTATATTCGTGTACGGATCTGTTCTCAGGTTGCTGTTTTTATGTAATATTATTTGACAACTAGCTGTAACTTTCAACTATTACAGGGAAGACCATGGACACCATGAGCATGAATCCTATTATGGAGATAGAGACACAGATAGCCTGGTCAAGGTGAAGCATGCTTAAATTGGACATCATTACACACACACACACATATATGTATATAAACTTCTGTTTGGCTATATGTTGATTTTGCCCCTTGCAGACGATGGAAGAGTTAGTTGCATCTATACCAAGGGAGGGGTCTCAGAAGCTAGCTTTGGAGGATAAAAGCAAAAATTCTGCAGAGAATGCCAAAAGACCAGCACCAAAGGCAGGAGGATGCAGGATTGAAGGTTATGTGCGTGTAAAGAAGGTAAACGTTTTATACAAATGTGTATAGGATAGTTGAGGAAAACTGAAATTAATTAGTTTCTGTGATGTCTATTATGAGCTTGACCTGTCTTGACTTAAAGGGAAATAGTAATGTAGCTATATTAAAGGGGCATCTTTTAAGTGTTTAAGCTATCTTCTACTGTGCAGGTTCCTGGTAACCTTATCATCTCAGCTCGCTCAGGAGCCCATTCCTTTGATACTTCTCAAATGAACCTGTCACATGTCATAACCCATCTTTCATTTGGCCGGATACTTTCTCCTAAGGTCATGAGTGATGTTCAGCGATTGATACCATATCTTGGTAGAAGCCACGACAGGCTGAATGGTCGGTCATTCATAAATACTCGTGATTTTGGTGCAAATGTTACTGTAAGTCCATGACTTCATATGGTCCTTATTTATACTTGTTTCTTGAATGCTAATACAACAACATTGCAAACTCTTTCTATGTCAATGTGTTGAATAATGAATAAATCTCAATTTAAAGCCACATTGGCACAAGGCAATAGACTTCTAGAATATGCATAGCCTAGGGTATGATGCAGTTTTGTCTGCTTAATATTTTATCTAAACCTGTATGATTATTTGTGCATAGAGATGGAGTGGATCCATGATATAGGGTATCTAGGACTCTCCATTGATGTATATGTACGCTTTACCATTTTGTCCATCTTTTATCAAAATATTTACTAACTTAATTTTCTGAAATGGTAAACTAGAAAATATATTGGCCATGATTGCAGTCTGCCAGAAGGCAAGATAGTGAAGTAAGAGCCTGTGATGTCCAAACATTGTGATGTTTTTTTGTTCAGTCATTTATTTAATCAATTTTGGTGGCATTAATGATACCAAACTTTACGGGTCTGTTTTAAGCAGCTCTGATTTGCCAGAGTCTTGAATACATATTAGCTCCAAAGATACATGCTCATGCTCTTGTTTTGGACAATGCACTGCAGAACTCCTTCAACCTGAGTCTTACTACCGCAAAATTGATTCCGTTTTCTAACTGTTGCCTTTGCAGATAGAGCATTATCTTCAAGTAGTTAAAACTGAGGTGATCACCACAAGATTTTCCACTGAACATAAATTAGTTGAGGAGTATGAATACACAGCCCACAGCAGTTTAACCCAGACTGTATATATACCGGTTGCAAAGTTCCATTTTGAGCTCTCTCCCATGCAGGTTAAGTAACAGATCATTGGATAATATCATTTATGCTTTACTTATTCTGAAGGTAAAGTGCTTTTAATCTTATACTTTCCTATTCTTTATCTTCCTTTCTTAACAGGTTTTGATAACAGAAAATCATAAGTCCTTCTCACACTTCATCACCAATGTCTGCGCTATAATCGGAGGTGTATTCACGGTTGGTATTTTTATTTTCATTTTTTTTTTCTAGTTCATCTAAAAGTTTCATATAATCATTACCGAGTATATAATCCTTCCCTGTGGGTTTCAGGTTGCTGGGATTTTGGATGCAATTTTGCACAATACAATCAGAATGATGAAAAAAGTCGAACTAGGCAAGAATTTTTGATAGAAAAGTGAAATATTTTTATTTTGTAAAGAACACTAATTTTTCCGTGCTCAAATACTAGCGAGGAGCGAGGATTATCTTGTTAAAACATTTAAAATGTGCCCATATTCAGATGTAAAATGAAGCACGATAAGTTTTTACTTATTTCATTTTGCTTCAGTAGGTGATTATCTTTTAAAAGTTCCACCTCATTGTTTGCAGTGATTTTTTCTGTGGTTGATTTTCATATCAAACGAAAAAAAAAAAAATCACATAGAATAGAATCCATTTATTTAGTTACATATACACTGTACTTTCATCTTAAACTTAAATTGATTAACAAGCACACCAAAGAGTATTCAAACTTCCCACTTATTCGAAAAATCACGGAGAAATCAAGCGGCCAAAAAAATTGAAAACAATCACTACGAAACCCCAAACAAACGATGCTTTTATGCAAGCTATAATTTGTCAACTTAGAATGCCAGAAGAAGTGATGAAGCAGCCGCCAAAGCCCCAATAGAGTTTATGAGACTAATGAAGGTTGAAGAAGCTGTACTTGGTGGAGCCTCAGGAGCTGGAGTTGGGTTGATGTCCACAGGCCCTGCAGGTGGAGAATTCTCGTCAGCCGGGGCTGGAGCCGGTGTGATCATGTCGGTCGAGTTTGACGGGGATGGGCTTGGTGGGGTTGTGTCATTTGTCTTGGAACTGCTGTTGCTTCTGTCAGCCAAGACCACCACAATCAGTTTCTCAGACTTGAGACAGTTGTCTTTGCTGCCACTGATGAAGTAGAAAGGCCCAGAGTGATTGAAAGTGAAGACAGTGTGGCCATCTGTGAATTTTGCCAAAGGAACCTCTGTGCTGCAGTTGTCATAGGCATCCTTTGTCACTTCAAGCACTGAATCTTGGCCAGATGAATATTTGAACACTGCACAAAACCATCCATTTTAAGTACAGAATACTAATGTTTACATCAGAGAATCACCAAGGAGTAGAACTTACCAAGCGAGTCCCCGGTTTGAAATCGGTTTTTTTCAGCCCATTGATTGAGAGTAGAGTTATTAGAGGGAACACTCCAGCTAACTTGGAACTGTCTTGCAGCACAGTTTTGCATCAAAAGCATGAGACTGAGGAATCCCAATGCATGAAATGCTCTGCTTCTCTTGTCATCTAATCTCAAAATGGTGCTAGCCATTGCCAAAGTGGAAGACTGAAACCTGGAAATGTTTAAAGTTGGTGAATGAATGCAATGGAGAGGTGACAGAACTGGGAAGATGGGGAGGGTATTTGTAGGGAAAGAGAGGGAAGAACTTTACAAGATGTGGCAGAGAAGCTTTTGCTACTTTTAATTATTCTGTGTGTTTTTTTGAATTAATTTCTTGACTTGCATGAAGTGCAAAGCATATATTGNGCCAACTTGGAACTGTCTTGCAGCACAGTTTTGCATCAAAAGCATGAGACTGAGGAATCCCAATGCATGAAATGCTCTGCTTCTCTTGTCATCTAATCTCAAAATGGTGCTAGCCATTGCCAAAGAAAAAAGTTTAACGAATGGAAGACTGAAACCTGGAAATGTTTAAAGTTGGTGAATGAATGCAATGGAGAGGTGACAGAACTGGGAAGATGGGGAGGGTATTTGTAGGGAAAGAGAGGGAAGAACTTTACAAGATGTGGCAGAGAAGCTTTTGCTACTTTTAATTATTCTGTGTGTTTTTTTGAATTAATTTCTTGACTTGCATGAAGTGCAAAGCATATATTGAGCCCTTTGAAGCTTTTTCATGTTTCTTGAGGTGTGGATTTATTACTTATACTTTACTTGATATCTATACAGCATATTCATATCTTGTAAAATGGGTTATATAATAATCTGCATGCATCCATGCATGGCAGATTGGCAGTTTATGAACATCAACATTTCCTACCACCTCTTGTTCTTCACTAACGAATAAATTTGATAATTATGGTCATCTTTTCATTGCCACTAACATTAACATGCTTCACCAAATGGCCTTCATAAATGTCATTTGTTAAAAGTAAGACTAAGCTATATATCTCTAAAATGCACATAGATACATGCATGTTATGTCTTGAATTCTTGCAATTTTAAGTAGTGTATGTCATGATAATAGTGTTTGTCAACTACCCAAAATTAGTACTTTAGGTGATACAATAAGGCTAGATCTACAACTCAATTTCACAACATTTTCTCACAACTTCCGACGTAGTATCTCATCATTGGTCAGGTTGCAAATGAGCAAGCGGGACCCATTCACCCTTATAAATCTAAGAGCTAACTTATTTTTGTTTAATACATTCTTCCCCATGTACTCATTACATTTAACATTATCTTTGCCAATCCAATTCAACCATTAATTGATTTAGGAGGGCACATAACAAATTCGATTTACCCCATTGTTTTCTCTAACCGTTCAATAATTTGGATCGACAATTTGGTTTACTAAATTTCACTTTTTACTAATCAAATACTTGTCTAACTAATATGTTGTTTACTTACTCTTACACATATTAGGAAATTTTAGTTCATTTCAATCCATGTACAATTTAAATATGAGTAAACTACTTTTCCCATCCAAGGTTTGCCTTAACGACACTTTTCCATCCAAAAAGTTTCAAAATACCACTTTTCTACCAAACGTTTATATTCCGTTAATACCAAAGCCAATTCCGACCGGTTCTGACACCGAAAATTCTCTCTGTCACTACCATTTGAACCTCCGATCTCTTTTTTACAAAACACTTCTCACTTCGACATCTAATTTCTCGTTTCTTATTCTTAGCTGATTTTCAGTTGATTTCGGCGGCAAAAATTCTCTCTTGTCACCACCATTTGAACCTCTGATCTCTTCTTTACAAAACTTCTCTTACTTTGGCACTTGATTTTTCACTTCTTGTTCTTAGCTGATTTCCAATTGATTATGACGGCGAAGATTTTTTCTATTACCACCATTTGAACCCCGATCTCTTCTTTACAAAACCTCTCTCATTTCTGCACCTGATTTCTCGTTTCTTGTTCTTAACTGATTTCTAGTTGATTCTGGCTGCAGATATTCAATCCGTCACCATCATTCAATCCATCGGCCTCCACTCTAGAAAATCTTTCTTCCTTTGGCTCTTAATAACTTGCTGAATGCCAATTGAGAAAGTGAAGTATATTTTAAATATTAACAGAATATAAACTTTAGGTTAAGTGTCATTAAGGCAAACCTTAGGTGGAAAAAAGCCGTTTACTCTTTAAATATTTGCTCTCTATGAGGTGAAGCCAAACATGAGCCAAGAAAACGATAAAATTTAAAATTTGATTATGTGAGTTTAGATATAATATAATGAAATCAGATTGTGATGAACCCATATGGCCATTGCCCATATCCCCACTTATCCTAATAATGAATGGACCCTCTCGTTTCTTTTTGCTCCTTTGCCAACAAACAAGTATTAAAACAACCATTCATTTTATTTAAAAGCTATAATTGCCCTCACTATTTTATATGAGACAGCTGATTAACTAAATTAAATTATTTGCTTTTGAAGATTCCGCAGTCAAGATTGACAACACAAATTAAATGGGTGGCGGTGATCTTCAATGTGAATTCCTTTTTGGTAAATTACCCGTTGTATCATCAAACTTATATTTTTAATATAAAAAATCAAATATATATATATATATATATATATATAACGATGATTAAAATAGTATAAAAAAGTGGTAATTGGGTTATTTGAAATAAAAATAATGAGAAAATCTACTTTTAAATAGTTTAAGGGTTCAAGAAAGAATATTAAATGTATTATTTAAGAGGTTTTAAATTCGAATCTTTTATCGATTGTTAATAGGGATAGTCATTGAAACTTTTATTTAATTAATAATTTTAAGATTTAAAAAAATTAATTAAAGTATGTGTAAAAGAAAAATTAACGAGAAAATGAGTGATTAATGAGAAAATGAGTGTTTTGACTAATTTTCGATTAAAAACAAAATAGTGGAAGAGATGTCAACTTCCCAAATGGAGAAAATTGGACTAATTCTTCTTGGCCAAAGTCAACGTAAAAAAGTTAGCTCACGTTACCGATATATTAACTGCCACGGCCGCCAGTGGCCTGCCATAGTATAGCCACGCGCAGCCACAAGCGGGTGGTACAAGCACCCTTTTTCCTAATCCCTGTTTTGACAAATCCCAAGAACTTCTTAACTAATATCTCCCGTAAAATTATGACATGTCAGAAACCAAGTCTCATGATCACGCGCTCTTCTCGCACTCTCTCTCTCTAAATCCAATGGATAATTCACTAAAATCTCATAAATTATCCACTAATTATAGTAATTACAGAAACAATTTAAAAAATAAAATCCTTAAAAAAAGACAACAAATTTTAGACCCTTCTTAAAGTACAAATTATTTTTATTAATTAATCCCAACACCTTATTTGCAAAAATATAAAAAAAATTAATAATTTAAAAAAAGATTTATTTTAGTGTATTGGATTTTAATTCTAAATTTAGGAAAATAAAAAAAAGGAAAAAAATAAACAAATAAAAATAAATGGGATAAAAAGCAATAAATAAAAAAGAAATAGAGAAGATTAGATTTAGAAACGGAGACAGCAAACGTTAATATAACGCATTGACCGGCATCAAGTTTTGTGTCGTGAGATGGCTCCCATCTCACCGCTTTGACATTTACACACACCTCCCTTCTTCTTGTTCTTCTTCTTCTTCCATCTCCATTATCACCTACACCAACAACAACGGCCCCAACTGTTCTTCAACAAAACAAACAGAAAACGATAAGAAAAATACTTTTTTTTTTCTGTTCCTTTTAGCTTTGAACGATTCTTGATTTTGTTCCAGCCAGCACCACATCCGGGCCCCCCCAGTTTTCACCCACTTTGAATTTTTCTATCAAAAGGGTATCTGAGAGCATCATTTGGTTGATCTTTTGCCGGGGGGTCTGGTTCAAAGGTGTTGGTTTTCATTTGTGAAAACACTTTTTATTTTTTTTATTTGTGAAAATGTGGGGGGCGACTTCACAGCCTGCTGATTCTTACTACGAGGTTCGGCCTGAGTGCACTGATGTGCCCAAAACCAGATTCAAAATCAAGGTTCGTTTGTTTTTGTAAATAATGGAATGTTGTGTAAGGTGTTTGATTTATGTTTTTTAGATTGATTTATTAATTTTGAGATGTAATGTGTTATTGGGATGATTGGATTTTGATCGAGAATGTGTGTTGATGTTTATTTGCATTGTGTGCTTTGGATGGTATTACAGCAGAGTTGGGTTTAATTTCGTTGTAAATTTATGACTTTGATGATCTTGAAGGATTGTGAATGAAAGCAAAGATTTTGTATGCATGTATTTGTAAGCATCTAACACAATGCAGTTAAGGTTGTGAGATAATAAGCTTAGCCCGATCATATGGTGAATGTTTGAAAATTTTAAATCTTGTGCAATTCTGACCCTGGTCCATAATTATTAAGCTTGTTAGTTAGAAAAAAGGAGTTTATTTTGTGACACCTGTGGTTGTGTGCATCAATTTGGATTTAAATTCATAATCCTTAAATATGTCGTTTTGCATTGCAATTACTGAGGCTTTTTGTTTGTATCTGCTAATACAGCCTGGTAAAACTCTAAGTGCAAGGAAATGGCAGGCCACGTTTACTTCAGAAGGATACTTAGATATAGGCAAGACTCTAAGTCGAATCCAACGAGGGGTAAGTGCATCTTCACGTTTAAAAGCGACGGCAAAATATGTTTGTACATATTCTTCATGGTACTATAATAAAGTTAGTTAGAGTTATTGCATACTATTATACCCGCTGGAAAAAATTCAATATGTGTGGCTCTTTGTGACATCTGGATTATGTGTCTGCTATCTTATGTGAAATTTGAAAGTTGAGTGAAGAATTTCACTCCCTTTTTCTTCTGCCCTCCTCTAAAGCAAAATACGACTTCTCAGTTACTTTTGTTTTATTCTTCCCTGATTCTATCCATATTTCAAACGATTTCCGCCTCTATTTCCAAATGGAAAGTCATAAATTATATTACCTGTAGTATTGATATTACTTTCTTAGTTGTTCGATATATACACCTTCATGCCAAGCTGATTTAGTTGTTTCCTTAGAGTCTTAACTGAATAAAACCTTGACTGGTTATTATTTCACTTTCTAATCAATGATCAAATTTATGTTCTGAATACTCTAACCACTTTTTCTGCTTTGCAGTCAAACAGTAGACACCTTTTTATATGACTAACCACCATATTCTACATATATTCTAGTGTTTATGCTCACTCGTGATTTCTGATGGAAGTCAAATTATCACCAAGCTTGTTATTTTTTTGTGAATGAATTTATATTTCTTTCTTTAGGCAACAACTTTCACTTATAAAAGAAGCTATTTCATGTACCTCGTGAGCCAGGGCCTAGAATTATCACTGCAATCAATTTTATTCCTTCTTAGGCTGCAGTATTATATTTTCTCTATTAGCAAGATTACATACATGTGCTAAAGGACAGCAGAATTTGCTATGTTCTTCCTTCATTCTCAATATCTTTCCTTGCTTTGATGTACTACCTTCTCTTTATAAAAGGAGAACAATCAATTTGTGAGTATTGACAAGTGTTGCTATATATTCTTTTCTCTTCAGGGGATCCATCCATCAATAAGAGGAGAAGTTTGGGAGTTTCTTCTTGGTTGTTATGATCCTAAGAGTACATTTGATGAACGAGAGCAGCTACGTCAACATCGGAGGTAGTTCATTTTTGTTGCTTTACTTGAGTGATAATGATATAAAAAGTTAGCACGTTTTAAGTTTTACAGTGAGATTGTAGGGTACTGACAAGAAAGTTATTTTCTTGTCATACTTTGATGCATTCGAAATGTTGTTTGTTTATCCACTTCTTCAGAAAGCAATATTATCAGTGGAAAAATGAGTGTCATGAAATGTTTCCAGTTGTTGGAAGTGGCAAATTCATCACAGCACCTGTAATTACTGAAGATGGTCAGCCCATTCAAGACCCTTTAGTGCTTCAAGAAACAAATTCAGGTAAGTAATTGACCTTATATTTTTGAGATAGTGGCTATTCTGAAACTGGTGATATGTTTTATGTTAATAGCCTGGATTTTTCAGGTCTGAGTGCTTCCAGTAGTTCAGAAATTGTAAAGGAGCTTGCTAGCCATGGTCCTTTGGACAAGAAAGTTATCCAGTGGATGCTAACACTACATCAAATAGGTTGGTGGTGCATATCAATTTCTGGCGCAAACTCACTTGGTTTTTTTTGCAAATTTTCTATCTTTCTTCCGTCTATGCTTTGTTTCCCCTTTTGCAGATTTGATTAAGAAGCTTGTAAAGGATGAGAAATACCTTATTGTACCCTCCAGCTATTGGCATTGACTAATGAGAATATGCATGCAGGATTCTGATATCATTTTGGTCTTAATGGCTTTGTTATGTTTAAATATTTTCTTCATAATATTTTCAAGCTTAATTTTTGGTTGACTGTATAGGTCCTTGTCTTTTTACACGAGTTTATACACAGAAAATGGATAAAGATGTAAAATTTTCTTTTCTGAAATTCTATGGCTTATTATTCCCTTTTATGTAAGGAGATTAAGTTCTTAATGTCAATCTTCAAAAGTAACTAGTGAAACTGCCTTACTGATTTTTTTATTTTATTTTTAAGTAGTTTGATTTGTAACCCATTCCATTTGGATACTTTTATGCTAGGCCTTGATGTGGTTCGCACTGACAGGACATTGGTGTTTTACGAGAAGCAAGAGAACTTGTCAAAACTTTGGGATATTCTGGCTGTTTATGCCTGGATAGACACAGATGTTGGTTATTGTCAAGGTGGATAACTAAATGAACTTTCTTGTTTTTCATGTCTTACTAAATGAGAAGTATAATATCTTCTACCATTTTTTTATTATCCTACTTTAAAATTTGTGAATTTTGAGTAAGACCTTACGAGCAATATAGGAGACAAAATAGATGGTGAGAGAACCTATTCTAATTATCTTAATCTAGCATTTCTTGAGTGTAATGGAAAGATTACACCATAATAATTCTTGTACCATTTTTTATAAATACCAGATTACATACCAATTCTGTTGATGTGTTGCCGAGTGGCAAAATATAACAATAATCTTTTCTCTCTACCGTTTACAATAAAGTGCCAACTCTCAGTTGAATTTTGTGCCAATAATATGCAGGAATGAGTGATCTTTGTTCCCCCATGATAATTCTTCTCGATGATGAAGCTGATGCATTTTGGTGCTTTGAGCGTTTGATGCGCAGATTGGTAAATATCATTTCTCTGTTAACAATTAATATGGATACCCTTTTTTGAAAATATTGTCTAACTCTACGTCTTATTTGAAACTTTGAAGCGAGGAAACTTCAGATGTACTGAGAGCTCAGTTGGTGTGGAGGCACAACTTAGTAATTTGGCATCTATTACTCAAGTTATTGATCCAAAACTTCATCAGCACTTAGGTACCATCTAAATATATGTGTTTGCATGTAAATTTAGTTAATAATCTATCTTAAATGTTGGTCTGATGCAACCTACATGTCTTTCTGTATAAGCCAGTGTACACTTAGTAGTTTATAGTACAGAAACCTCTGCTTTTTATGAAATGACATGCTGAAAATGATTTCGTTTAACAGAGAAAAAAGGGAATTCATTTCCCATGATGCAAATGATTTAAGCTTATATCCTGCGTATATCACTGAACCTATGAACTGGAAACAAGAGTGGAAGGAATACAGTAAAATACTCAGTATCTTTTATAACGAACCAACCCTTGTTTTTATATTCTTGTTGATCTGGTTTAGATGCAGTTTTCACCTATTGAGAACACTGAATGGTCTGAATTCTATTGTACATAAATGATCAATTTATGGATTAATATAACTGTTAAAGTTATTTCTGATTTGTCATTGCCTTTGCACTTTTTTCTGCATTTCTCAAATTAATGATTCAGAAAGAAATTAACAAGAAACTATGTTTTGTGATTCTGTAACACAGAGACCCTAGGTGGAGGTGACTATCTCTTTGCTTTCAGAATGCTTATGGTCTTGTTCCGTCGAGAATTCTCCTTTTGTGATTCACTATATCTCTGGGAGGTATGATCTAACTTCTCTGATATTATTTTTTGTTCTTTCACTTTGGAGATTGGAAGAATTATTTTCAGGTTCTCTCTAGATTTCCTTTGTGTTTTTATCATTCTAACATTTTGCAGAACTTTAAGCTAATTGGCGTCATTGTGAAATATTGAGTCTAAAATCTGGTCTTTAACTTTACAAGAAGTTTTCAAATGAGTTATTTTACCAGACTTTGCAGGCATATTCTAGCAAAGATTGTTCATTTATGTTATTTGGTCCATATGATGCTTGTTTACCATTTCCCTGACTGAAGACTTGGTTCTTGAGATGAGAGTATTTTGCGCCATTTGGTGGTTCCTTAAGAGCATCAAACTGCTCTTGTGACAGTATATTTCCCTGCTTCTCTTGCCTTACTAAATAGTTTAAGAAGGCAATTCCAGAAGAATGCCATCTTATCCAGAAAAGGATACTTGAGTCTTATTTGCTGAGATTTTATTCCACGTCCTTGATAAGTATGCGCATATGGATGGTTTTATGTCCTTATTTTCCCATTCCTTTTTCCTTTAAGAATTTTTCTCCATCTTGTGCATGCATGTTTGCTCTGTAATATTAAATAAAATCTGTTCTTCTTTACCTGCATTCTGGAGATAAATTTTGTATATCATGATTGTATTTTTTTTTTTTTTTTGGTGGTGGTTTTAATTTTTTTACAGATGATGTGGGCCCTAGAATACGATCCCGACCTATTTTCTTTATATGAAGAAGCTGAATTAGTTGGAGATAAAGCTGATGGCTCTAAAGCAAAAGCAAAATCAGTTCGTCAATGTGGAAAATTTGAGAGAGAAAATATGAAAAATAAAGGAAAGAATTCAGAAGCCCCGCTCCCCATTTCTGTTTTCCTTGTTGCCAGTGTCTTGAAAGATAAGAGCTCAAAGCTACTGCAAGAAGCTCGTGGCCTGGACGATGTTGTTAAGGTTAGCTTGATGAGTTAGATCTCTACTTAAGTGTCATTTCATTTTTCTTCTAGCCTTTCTCCCGACTTCCTTTCTCAGTCATTACTTTTTCATTTTTTCATTGTCTTTTTAATTTTATTTTTCTCTACCTTTCCAGATATTGAATGACATAACTGGAAATTTAGATGCCAGAAAAGCTTGCAGTGGAGCTATGAAACTTCACAAGAAATATTTAAAAAAGGTATGTTCTTTATTTGAATAGTTGTAAATCTTGATGTTTCATTCAAAATCTTAACTTACAAACGAAAGAGCACGATCAAGTTTCTGCATGAAAGCATTTGTTGGATTGTTATTTCTGCCAATTCTCTTTACACCTCTAATATAAGATCTTTCAGTTATTCCATGTGCTTACTGTTTATAACGTTAATGCAGGCCAAGCAGACATAACATTTGTTGAATGCAAATTTTTCGACCCAATGAAGAAAATAATGGGAAATTTCATTATGCTGTGACTTGATTTGGCACAAGAAAATAATATAAAATTCGCATAGAGATTTGAACGATTTTCCAAGTAAAATGAACTTGGACAAACAATAGTTCCATCTGTAAACTGTAATCACTAACTGTATATGCAAAACATTTTTTTGAAGCCTCAATACGAATTCATATTTTGTATAATTTGTTGTGGTTTGTAATTATATCTTTAAATCCAAAAAAAAAAAAAAAAATTTACTGAGCTGAATTATGTCACTTGCTCATATTAACCATTCCTGCTTCTCAAATGGTTGCTTGTTTCCACATGGGAAGTCCATTCATTTACTGAAATCTATATGTTTATCTCAAATGGTTACTTTAGCTCCTGTTTCAACTTTCAAGCTCAAAGAAAGAAGACATTTTTTTTTTGTCTTATTACAATTCTTAAGTACATAGATCATTCAAGCTCCAAACATGAATAATATCTAGCAAAATAGCCTTACAACACTACAAAATTTATGGCCAAGGTGATCCAAGAAACTGCAATACGTGTACCTCCATCTTCTATTGAGAAGTAAAGAACCAATGAAGCTCCAAAAGCCCACTACAAATCCAGGTGCCATGCTTACGTAAAAGTAAAACCATTCCACTTCATCTTCATTGCCATCTTTTTCTCTTCCATTTTCATAATCAGGTGTTGGAACCCTCTCGGAACAGCTTTTAGAAAGTGGAGATCCACAAAGCTCATTACCAATGAAAGAAGAAGGATCGAAACTTTGTATTTGAGTGCCGGAAGGAATTTCTCCAATTAAGTTGTTGGATAAGTCCAAATGACTCAAAAAATTTAGATTTGAAATGCTTTGTGGGATTTCACCTGAAAGTTGGTTTGAAGAAAAATCAATGGATTCTAATAATTTCATAACACCAATCCTCTCCGGAATCCTTCCTGTAAAAGAGTTGTGTGACAAATTCAGCAATCGCAATGCTTCAAGATTTGTCACTTCCATTTGGAATCTCTCCTGATAAATTGTTTTTTGAAAGGTCTATACTTCTCACCAAATTAAGAATGGTGTTATATTCAGCCATTTTCCCTTTCACAACAACTAAAGCATCCTCAAGAAACATCTGTATAGATAAATTTAAATAGGATGTATGCGGTTGATACACATATTCTATCTTGTTTCCTGAAGAGTTCATTGTCACCATGGCACTAAAGTTATCGATACATCTTGGTATAGCTCCGGAGAGATTGTTATCAGCAAGGTCTAAGATTTGTAAAGAAGCTAAATGGCAAAGTTCCATGGGTAAAACGGCATCAAACTTATTTGAACGAAGATTGAGAATCATCAATTTCGAAAATCCTTCTCCAATCCATGATGCAACATTTCCCGCAAGCTCATTTTCCCCAACATCAAGCACTAGCAACTCTGAACAATTCTTTAATGATATTGGAATTGTTCCACTGAGATTATTTTTGCGAAGGTACAGTGACCGAAGGGAAGTTAAAGTACCCAAGGAAGTAGGAACAATACCACTGAATTTATTATCTCGTAAATTCAAGAGCAACAAGTTTTGCCAATTCATCCAACAATCAGGCAGGAATCCTGACAAGAAGTTTCCTCCAACTTTGAGAATCCGCATTTCGTTAGATTCATTGATGAGTCCAGGACACACAAAATGAGAAATGGATCCCGAGAAAGCATTGTTGGAAAGATCAAGTTGATTCATATTGACAGATATAAGCGGCAATGAACCTGACAAATTATTTGAATTCAAGTGGAGTGACTCAAGATGAGTAGCCTCTCTCAAATTTGGAACTTCCCCATTGAGTTGGTTGTGGGAGATATTTACATGGATATATTGAGAAGGAGATTTGAATAAATGAATTGGAATGGTATCTGAAATTCTTGAATTAGAAATATCAAAATGCTGTAAAAACTTTTGTGAATGAAGCCACAACGGAAATTGAGGTCCTATGTGACAAGATCTCACTCCTAAAACTTTAAGTTGGAAAGGAGGAACCCAATCAAGATCAACTCTCATTGTTAATGAGTTCTCGGATACGTAGAAAACCAACAATCTTGTGAGATTAGCAAAATGAATTTCAGAAAGAGTTCCATTCAATTTATTGTAGGAAAGATCTAAAAATTTCAAAGACGAAAGTTCTCCCAGAGATACTGGAATAGGACCAGAAATAGAGTTGTAACTTAAACGAAGGGTGTTCAAATTCTTAAATTGCCCAAGTTGACTAGTTATCTCCCCGAAAATTCGGCTACTCTTTATATCCAAGGACTCCAGTACATTTGAGACACAAACTGACAAAATATCCAAGATTTCAGAAATTTCTTGATTCAGATTGACAGCCGAAAAAGAGATGGACCTCAAGTTGCATAGTTTTCTCATTGATTTTGGAACTTTTCCTTCCAGTGTATTGTATGATAGGTCAAGAGTATTGATAGAAGTCAGGTTTCCAAGAACTCCTGAAATTTTACCTACCAAGCTATTACGCTTGAGAGAAAGGTAGTTGAGGTGGTTAAAATTGTACAGCCAGTTGGGTTTTGAAGAATTGAAATGGTTGGAAGATAAATTAAGGTATCTAAGAGATGTCAAAGTTTTGAAGTCCATCAGGAATGGGACCTTCAAAATTATTAGAACCTAGATCAAGAAAGGTAAAATGACTAAGACTTAAAATTCAACTGGGAATCAATCTGTCATTGAATTGGTTTCCTGAAAGATCAAGATAAGCAAGAGACGAAAAATTTGCAACTGGTAATTGAGGAAAGTGATGAAGTTTTGACAATTTGACAACTGTAACACAGTCAAAGAGGGAAGTGTGTTTGTTACCAGCAACCAATCAGAAGCTTTACTCAGTTGAACACCACTTAAATCAAGGTGCTCCAGCCTTGAAAGATTTGATAGCCAACCGAAATTCTCAACACTGAGCTTACTTGCAGAAGCAGAATGGAGGTCAAGATATTGCAAATTAGAGAGATTTCCAAGTTGGTGAGGAATCATTCCAGAAAATCCACCTTCAGAGAGATTAAGATATCTCAGATTCTGTTTAGAACCAAGAAAACTAGGAATCGGAATTCCTTCAAAATCATTCAAGCTTAAGTCCAAGTAAAATAAATTCTTAAACTCAAGCAAAGAGCGGTTTATCTTACCACCCAACTTCGACCTCTCATACGCTTCTTGTTCAGAAAAAGAGGGGTACTCTGACAAAACAAAAGGATTTGAAAGGTGGAGCTTAAGGACATGACCTGTCAAGTTGTCGCAAACAACACCAGCCCATGTACAGAAATCTCCATCACCAACCCAAGAGGCAAGCCGGTTGGAAGGGTCTTTAAGGTCTTGTTTAAACCTTAAAAGTGCTTGTCTCTCACTTTCTATGCAAGAGTTTCCATTGCACAAGCTGACATTAATGGTGGATATAATAAATAATTGAAAGAAGAGGAAGACGACAACACTCAGGGTTGGTTTCTTCGTTGCCATGGAGCTCTAAATAGAGTTTTAGAAAGGAAATGTGCCTGAGAATGTTTTAATTAGCATGCTACTTATAGAGTGTCCTTTCTGCCCATTTGCACATATTGTCAACATGATTACCACAGCATCCATTAATTTCATACCACCGCAGCACCACTCTTGGAAAAACTTAGATGGATGGTCCACAAGGCCGGCTCAAGGGTAGGCAGGTGAGACACCTGCCTAGGAGCCAAAAAGGGAAAAAAAATTTATATATTTTTTTTTTCAAATATATTACAAAAATAAAAATAGTATATAATTTCTTATCTAGACTCATCCAAGGGGTCCCAAAAAAACCAAAAGGCCCAAATTTATTATAAACTTTTTACACATATTCTCACCCAAAGTTTGACAAAATAGCAAGTTTATACCTCTAGTTTCATATATTCTAATTTACACCCCTAAATTAACACATTGAATTTATTTTAATAATGAAAGGCTAAAATGGTCACTTATATGTCTCAAATTACTCACCCCAAATTCAATCCCAAAATTCAACATTCACATAAATCATCTCCACCTCGCTTCCTCTGCCGGCCGTTTGGAGTTTATTCCGGTCGATTTTCTCACCAAAATCGATCGGAACCATCACTTTATTATTTTTCAAGTGTTTTTCCAGCTTTAATGGCCCTTAATTTGGCCGATTTTTTATGAATCTCGCAACCTAACTCCACCGTGTGCAACAACCATTTCCGGCCTTTCCGACATGTACCTGGCATCTTTGGCCTTCCCCAACAGCACCATCTTCCTTCCTTCGGCCTTCTCACTAAAACCCCTATGATACCTCATCTGTTTGCTCGCCATAGCCAGCCACTGATACCTTTTGGGCCACGACTTCTCAAGTCTTTTCTGGTCAATCCTGGCATTGGAAATCACTCATTTCACCACCTATCACTTCTCCAGCATCTGCTCTCCAAAACCCCCCACCAACCTAACCCCGTTAGCCGCCAGTCATCGTTCACCTCTCATAATGATTTTGTATCTCAAAAGACAAAAAAAATAAATTTGAAATAATTTTTTTTAATATATACTTATATTATTAGAAGGTCCGCAAAGTAATTTTTGCCTAGGGTCACAAATGTTCTTGAGACGGCCCTGATGGTCCATTACGTCTTTTGCATTTATCTTGAAAATTTTATTTGACTAACTTAGATGAATGATGGATCCAAGTCGAGGAAAGACTCCCACAATAAAACATGCCAATCCCTTCCAATTTTAGTGTTATTGTCTGGCAATATCATTCATTGTTCTGAATCTGCCCAAGTGAGTAGACATCTCCCCTCTGCTGACAGAACAAGAACAAGAACAACACTTTGTATGTGGGGATTAAAGAATAGTACTACTAGTTTAAATAAAATTTCCATGAGACAGTGCTCAAATTGCTTAAATGAATTAAATACAAGTAACTGAAAATCTTACCAATTTCCTACAAGAACAGACGTAAAAGGAAGACAAAATAACCCCCAAATGGATGCTAGTTCTAATGGAATTGATCCTGCATCAACATGAAAGTCGGGACCCCGATCAACATAACAAGCACGAAATTCACTGGAGATCTACTCTTATAGTAAATTCTGTTGGAAGAGTACATTCTTCTCCATTGAAGAACACCTTGGCAGGAAACCCATCACCCCTCCAAATATTTATATTTGGTAAATGTTTCTTGGTGAATGAAATCACAGACTGCTGTTTTCCTGGCACTCTTGGTTCACCTGGTTTAGTACCATTTGTCTCTGCCATCAAGTAATTTAGACCTTCTAACCCCTGGAAGAATAGTGTTTTGTTTACTTGTGGCAACCTTGTCCCATTGAATGAATACACATTTTCATAACCTGCATAAACCTTGTCCATTTTCACTGCTGTGAACCAATCCTCAAATGAGATTATAACATTTTGAAAATATTTCAAGTCATTTTAATCAGAAGTATTTTTATAATGTTTTTTTATCTCTTATGACTGAAGCTTGACAAAACTAATTTATTAACCAAAAAAAAAAAAATTAATTTTTTTTTATTTGGAGCGGAAAATATTTTTGTACAAGTATTGTTTATTAAAATATTTAACATCAATCTTGCTAATTATAAGTATATTAAAGGCGATTTTTAGAGTATATTGTCTCATAGCTCCTATTATACATAAGAGTAATACTACACTTATAAAGAAATTTTACAAATATCTCTATACAAAGTGATGTGTCAACAAATGAATGGAAGGGTGAATTTAATAAGTTTGACTTTTTGTTTCACTTTTCCATTCATTTTTTGTTACATAACTTTGTATAGAAATCTTTGTAAGATTTATTTGTTAGTATAGTATTATTGTATACATAAGCTAAAATATTGCATAATGAATAGGGTAATTAGTGTAGTATGTTTCTAATTGTGTTCTATTATTTGGAACCTTAATGAATTATGAAACTTCTAAACAGAAATTATATAAAATGGAAATTAGCGTGTTACATATATACTGGAACTCCATTGTTCAACCATTGCTTCAGGATCCATTTGGGTTGTAATCCAAAATTAAGTTTTAAAAATTAAGTTATAAATCAAAATTTGTATCTCAATAATTAAATTTCTGCTGATGTAATTGACATAATATTCAAACAATTGTTTCAAAGTTAAAAATAATTTTTTTTAAAAAAAAAGATAAAATAAATCTATTTAGGAATGTATTAAAAAAAAAAAAAAACCAGGTTTTGAAATATTTCAAGTAACTTCGACCAAAAATATTTTCATAACATATATCAAATAAATTATTTGTGTGTTTTCAGGAAATTACTTTGATGATTACTTTGCACCGGCAAAACTCAAAGTGGTTTTGAAATTAAGTAAATAAACTGTTGGAAATTAAATTTATTCTCCTTCTAATAGTAAAATGACCCATCATGTCCCCAAAGACTTGACATGTCAAATGAAGAGTAAACGACATGTTCCCACCCTAGGTTTAACGACATCTAAAATTAATACCACTGGTTCTATTTATTCCAAATCTCCACCCTTAAACTAACACCGTTTCTATTTTTTTAACAGTTAAAGGGTAAAATGGTATTTTCCTATAATTTAAAATTCAAACTTCAAAATAATCTCAAATTTCTCTCCACCTCCTCTCTTCCTCCACCTCCACCACCGCTGGCTAGAGATCCCGACCGAGATCATTGGGTTGCATCCCACTGCCACCACCACCACGCCACTACCGTCGAACAACAAACACAAACACTCTGAAAATCAACCAATCAACCCCAGAAATCCCAAACAAACAAATCTGATTTGTCCAACACCTGATTTGTCTAAAACCAAAACAAAATCACACAATCACTCCAAATACAAACACTATCAACCTCCAATCATAACCAAAGCTCTCAATCTCCAATCAATTCTCCGAAACAATCTCCAAATTAACACAATTTCACCAAAAAACGCGACGAAGAACACGAACCTCTTGACCGATGAATGGCGACTAACCGGTTGCTGGGTATAGGGGGGGTTTTGTAAAGTGGGAGCCGCTGGGTGCATTGGTGGTGTCCAATTGGATTTTGGCCATCGGAATCGACCGGAATCCGGCGAAGGAAAGCAAAACCCTAAAGCTAACTGCGCCAGCGATTGGAAGGTTCAATGCGTCGGGAAACAAAGGGGTTTTGAAGTATGGGCTACGGGGAAGCAGATGGAGGTGATAAAGGGTTTCAACTTCGTTGGAAATAGCTCAGATTGGGCAAAAACCCCGCCGGGGGGGGGGGGGGGGGGGGGGGGGGGGGGGGGGGGGGGGGGGGGGGGGGGGGGGGGGGGGGGGGGAGTCTCTTGAGTCATTGAAAAAGGCCAAAACGGCTAGAAAAAAAATCAGGTGGTGGTGCTGATGACGGTTTCGGGAGGGAGAGAAAGAGTGTGGTTGTAGCTGAGGGTGAGGGGGAGAGAGAAGCGACGGAAGAGAAGAAGGGGAAGATGAAGAAGAAGAAGATGGGAGGGGTAGTTTGGTAATAGCATGTCATGCACTCTAAAACTCTCAAATGAATAAAGAACCTCCTCTCCCTTCAACGGTACATCTAGCACCTCCTTTTGGTTAAAGTTTTATAGAGTAAACGACCTTTTCCAACCCAAATAATGACTTAATGACACTTTCTCACCTACAAACTTTTAAAATATCATTTTACTATCTAAATTTATAATTCGTTTTCGGTTCCGGCATTGTTGTGACCCCAGACCATCACCATTCTCTTCCCCGATCATCACTCACCAAAACCTCTCAAGCTCTACTTCCGCCGACCACGCCAATCATCGGTAATTAAGTGATTAGGGTTTGTGCAACCACCCTTCCAAGTCAAATTCTGATCAATCCTAACCACCAAAATCTAACCTTCTACCACCAAAATTCTCATCGGCCTCCCATCTTTAAAAGCATCGACTGTGTTTGCTTTATGTTCGTCGTCGGAATATAAATTTGGATAATAAAATAGTATTTTAAAAGTCTATGAGTGAAAAAGTGTCATTAAGCCATTATTTGGGTGGGAAAAAGTTTTGAACTCAATTCTATATCAAATAAATTCTAATGTGTTTCCAAGAAATCATGGTAGACTTTTCTTCTTCCAAGTCATTAAAGGATATTATCAATGTATGATAATGTTTTATAAAATTATAAAGAAAAACAAATATAAATTACAAAATAACTTAAAAGGGAACAAAATATTAATCGAGATGATCAGATCTAATATTTTTTGAGGATAAAAATGGTATTTGAGAAGGGGACAATTTATATAATTTTAAATATTTTTAGTTAAAAAGCAAATTCATATTTAAATAATAACAACTTAAAAAGTTTTTTAGGGTTTTTATAATAATTATTAAAAAAAAAAAAAAAAGAAATTGTTCTACTTCTAGAAATGAAACTCGTTTGGATATGCAGATCTTTGTAAAGTCATCTAACAAATGCGCTTTAGAAATTAAGTTTGATACTGAAATGACCCAATATGTGTACAAAGACTTTACATGTTAAATGGATATGGAAATATTATACACGTTATATCTCTTTCTCTAACGTGGGAAATTAATGCCTCATTTGACATTTATAAATTAAATCTTCATTGATAGTGAACAATGATTGATTAGTTTTAAAAATGAATGAATGTAGGACATGATATGACTATAAAAATGCATTAATTATGGTATTAATATTTTCCTTCCACCTAAGTATGAGTTCAACCTCTTAAATGTGTAATACAACTTCAAATAACAAGAATAGCTCAAAGTTCATAACAAATTAAGAACATAAAACATAACCAATACTTATTTGGAACCTTAATGAAATATGAAACTTGTAAACAGATAGATATATAGTGCAACTCCGTTGTTCAACTCTTGCTTTAGGATCTATTTGGGTTGTGATCCAAAATTAAGTTTTAATTAAAAGATCAAAATCTGTATCTCACTAATTTAAATTTCTGTTGATGTAATTGACATAATATTCAAACAATTATTTCACAGATAAAAATAATTTATAAAAAAAAACTGATAAAATAAATCTATTTAGGATTGTATTAAAAAAAAAAAAAAAAAAGACGGATTTTGAAAATTTTGAAGTAACTTCGACCAATAATATTTTCATAACATATATATTTATATACAAGCGAAAAATCATTTTAAAATTCTATATCAAATAAATTCTTTGGGTGTTTCCAGGAAGTTACTTTTAATTTTGCACCGGGAAAACTCAAAGTAGTCGACGAGTGGGGGTCAAGGTCCTCAGGGAAGACTGGTAAAACTATTATCGTGGCAGACCCTTTTTCTTCAAGTATTGCATTTTGGTCAAAGTCATCTGAGAAATACGCGTTGGAAATTAAGCTTGATTGTGAAATGTCCCAATATGAGTACGAAGACTTGAAATATCAAATCAATATGGAAATATATGTGGAAAATTAATGCCCCATTTGACATTTATAAATTAAAACTTTCAAGGGTCAAGATTTTAAATTTAATTTTCTCTCACATAAAATAGCATTTAATCTAAAGAATTGACAAAATAAACAACCAAAAAAAAAAATAAAACAAACTCAAAACAAACTATAATTTTTATTATTTTTTTAATGACATACCGAAATTTTTTTAGAAATTTTATAATAAAATAAGCTGTAATATTACCTTTTCAGTATCATAGAGCTTTTATAATAAAAATTCAAATAAAACATATGGGGAAAAAAATGTTACGTGTTGGATTATATCTATAGCCTTAGATAAAATCTTGTTTTATGAAAAAGAAAATTGATTGGTTTGTTCATTAGTTTTCATAGGAAACCGATAATTCATAAGTAAAATTGAATAGAAAGAAAGAAGAAAATAAAGAACGAGGAACCACCATTGGGTGGCTCAGCGATCAACTAGAATTCTTGAATGCATTATTCAAGAGATCCTAAGTTTGATCTACCTGAGTTGCTAATAGGGGTGGTCATTGAGTAGATTTACCTAGCTATCAACTTCAAGAGCATAGGGAATTAGTTTAGGTATACGTAAACTGGTCCAGACACACTTGATCACTAAAAAAAATAAATAAATAAAAAATAAAGAACAAGGAAACTTTAAATAAGAAAAAATAAATTAGCAATGGATGTTGAGCATGTGGGTAAATTAATTGAAAATGCTTCTGTGCAAGCAATTGTTACCACTCTCTATCTTTTTTTCTATTTCTTTCTAGTTGGATATCTTTATGAATTCCTTGTTTTGTGTATCAGCCGCTTCCAAAAACTGTATGACACTATGACCCTTGTGGAAGACATTGTTATAGAGTATGTCACAGATTTGGTAAGCTTTCTTTCCAGATGGTTTTTACCTCTTTCTTCAATAAGATGGCTTAGCAGATGTAATATC